CAAGACGGCTGGCCGCCACACACGGCGGGTGCGCGTCGCCGGGTCCGCGGCGCTCCGGCCCCTCCGGCCCCTCCCGTCTCTTCCAACCCGCTTCAGCAGTAACACCCGTCGTCTCTAGTCGCCGGTCACGCTCAATGAGCCAAGGCGGGGGCAGCGAGGATGCCGCGGCGTTGCTGACGCTCACGGCGGTTCGGAACGAACGACAGTTCTACTACGACAAGCTGCGCCACATCGAGACACTCGTGGCGCCGCTCACGGATAACACGAACGCAACCAGTGAGGCGAAGAGCCTGGCGTGTAAGGTTTTAGAGATACTATACGCAGCGGATTAGCTCTGTACGGGGCGTGGCGTATTCCAAAGCTGCCTGCGTGTTTGTTGATTGGGCGAGAGAGAGGAGGGGGCCTGCTCGTCCCTCTTTGTGTGCGCTCGCTCCCTTCGTGCGACGTGGGGGTCTCGCACGCACGCTCGAATATGCAGAAGGCACAAGGAACGGAAACAAAGCAAAAGAAAACAAGAAACAAAAAAAAAAGAAAACGAAAGCAAGGCGTGCGCCGACGCACAACTACAAAGTGCTTACTTTCTCTGTGTGTGTGTGTACATGTGATGCACTTCCCGCTGTGCAGGTGCTGCGGCGCGTCATCCGCTTGGACCACCGCCCAGCAAGACCGTTGGTGGGGGCATGTGACTCTATACTTGACGCGAGGGTGGCTGCATTTATGTTTATACGCCCTACGTGGGATTGCACGCGTGTGTGAGTAGCCAAGCTTCAGCCTCCTTTTCCTCTCCTTGTGTCTGCCTTTCTCTTTTTTTCATCATTGCCTGTTCCCGCCGCCCCCCCATGTGGAACGGGACCGACACCAACCTAGGAAGTACAGCGGAAAACAACTGCCGCGGGTTAGTTGTCAAGGGTGGGGGGTGGGAGAGTAGTGCGTGGTGGAGGCGAGTGGGCTTTCTTTCTGAAGGGACAGGCGCCCACTCACTCACACAAGCACGCAAAGTCACAAATACACACACACACACACATATATATATATATATACATATATATACATACACACGTGTATAAATAAAAGATATATTTATATTTATATCTTTTATCTATACGCAAGGGAAAGAAGGGGGGTGAAAACGACAAGAACAACAACAAGAACGAAGAAAGGGGACGAACCGAAGGAGAAAACAAAAATAAAAACAAATACAGAACGAAGATAAAAAGAAATAAAAAAAGAAAAACAGAGTAGAGTTGAAAATCGGACAGTGGGTGCTCGAGGTCTGAATACATTAAAGTGGGGAAGGTAGTGTACACACTTACTTGTGCATTTGCGAGGAGAAGTGAAACGGTATCTGACGGCAAGCAAAGACGAGGAAAATAAGTCTTTTGTTGTTGTTGTGCCCTCGTGTCCCGTTTTTTTTTTTGGTTTTGCTTTGGGTTTAACAGGCCCATATGCGGAACGGCATGGTTGAAGGGGAACAAGGAGTGTTGGCTTTGGCCTTCCCTCCCGCGGCAAGTGACTCGCCGATCTGCGTGAGCGCTGGGGGCAACGCCCACGCGGCAGTGCTGGGGCACGGCAGCAGCAGCAGCGAGAACAGCTTTCGTCACAGCAAGCAGCAGCAGCAGCAGGGACACCGCGCTGGCCCGTCACTTCAGGGTTCACAGTCGCTGTATAGCTCGAAACAGCAGCAAAAACAACTACAGCATGTAAATACACAAGCGTTGAGTGCTGCGTTTCCTCTGCCACAGACGCAGTCACCAGTGCTGTCGACCTTGACCTACCGCGCAGAATGCGAACAGCGAGCGAGCCTCAACGACATCACGTGCTGCGTGCCGTTTCCGATGATGCAGACATATNGTGGGGCTATGGCCGCAGGCAGTGGCTTGAATGGCAACCAGCCACAGAGCATGACACCTATGGAAACCAAAAACAGTAACCCACAACAGCCAACGCCAGTTCCATATAACAGTGCTGCTGCAGGCACACGTATATATCAGTATGGTTGCAATCCATTTGCTTTAAGTCCCTATGCCTCTCCTATGCGAGGCGCTCCCAACTACCCGTCGCCGCAGTTGTGGCAGCCAGGGCCGGCGTATTATGATGCTCCTGCGCAATACGCTGCTGCTGCTGCTGCCGCCGCCGCCGCCGCCGCCGCCGCTACTGCTGCTGCTGCTCTCGCCGCCGGACAACGACAACAACAACAACATTATCACCATTATCATCATTATTTCCATCAAGGCCAATACCAATTTCCTCACCATTTTCATTATCATCACCATCATCGTCATCATCATCATCATCATGACGGCTGCTTCCCAAGCATCAACTGCTACAACCACAATGCGGCCATGTCGCCTGCTGCTGTGCCTGTGCCACTTGCGGTACAAGCAGCAGGCGTGCCATTCGGCGCACCGATGCCACGTACCGATGAAACTGAAGGCATTGCTGTGGGCCCGCCGAAACAGGGAAGTCCCGCGGCCGTCCTACTACATGAAGAGGAAGAAGACAGCGTGCCCGACGATTTGACTGTGGAGGACACACCGTCAAGTAACAACAGTGGGCGCCGTGGTCTGAACACCCTAGAGCACGACACCCATCAACCACCTTCCGAGTGCGCCAGTACGTGCAGTGACAAAAGTGGCACCGAATTTGCTGTGATGCATGCGCCTCCGAACTATGCACGGCGCAAGGGTGAAACTGGTAGTAGCAGTGTGAAGAGTAGCTGGAGCCACGGCCCTGGGGGCAGCGCGGTACTCAACTACAATGCGACCGAAAATAGTATGTGCCTCAGCCCGTCGTTTGTTCGCATTCCCGTTACACCGACAGGCTTCTTAGCGGATGCAACTGTGGCTGCGCAGCCACCGCCATATCGGGACAGTATCCTGGCGCGTGGAGGATCCATGAATCAGGGTGTGCGTGCACTCCGGAAAAACTACACCATTCCGGTGTCCGTTGATGCGCCGGAAGAGCCAAGTGCGGAGACCGTGGTGGTGGGAAATAACACGGGGAACACAAAAAGTGGCATGGAAACACATTGTCATCTACGAAACGACTCTGATGGAGCGCGTGGATTTTGTGACCGGGAACTGGGGGCTTCTGCCTCAATGGTCAACGCACGTTATTCTTCAGTGGAGGAACAAAGACCCCTGTCGGTGCCTGTTGCAAATGGCTGCGGTATCCCTGTGGTTGCGCAGAACGATGAGGGTGACATGACACACACAGAAAAGCCATGTAACATAGGAAGACAACTTCGTGGGGAGACATCTGAACCGCGTCGGTGTGCACCGTCGTTTCAAGTGGCGGAGGAAATGCGGACACCTGACGCAGAAACCAGCAACCCGCACAGCCACCACCACCACCACCACCACCACTATCACTATCATCATCACCACCACCACCACCTCCACCAGCATCAACAACAACTCCCGCGCTTGCTGTCAATGGGAGCCCTCGCGAAGCCGTCTGATCTCGTGCCGCTACAACAATTGCAACATTCCAGTTTAATGACGACCACTTGCGCCTCGCCGCAGTCCTCGTCTGCGTCCAAGACGCCGGGGGGCAAACAAAGCGCTAGTCCATCGACGATGGGCACATCAGGTACGAATGACTCTTGCTCTGGCGCCGCCAGCAACCAGCAGTGGATCCAGCCTAGCTCCGCGCAACCACATTTCTTGGTGCCAAACAGAGTTGCAGACGTCTCGCCAGCTTCTGCGTGTGAGTCGTTTGCCGAGGGATTGCCCACGCCTGGTTTCTCTAGCAAATGCGGACGACGAAAGTTGGGTACCAGCCGTGCATCATTTCGCTTTGCCACGTTGTACGAGCACCACGGGATACAGGACGACTTAATTGAGGAAAGGGACGTGGAATTGCCCTTCGACTCGGGTTCTTATGGGAACATTGCGTCATTTGTCGACGCCGTTGCCCCAGTTGTGCCCGTGGACCAGATGGTAGAGTTTCCCTCCGTGGACGCTGTAGGAGGTGAAGTGGCTGCGGGAGCAAGTGCACCGGAGGAGTGCTCTGGGGGTGTTCCGCCGTCACCGTCGCGCAAGGAGCCCTCCATTGCGTTGCACAGGGTGTGGAAGTCACTCGACTTCCCGTTTGGCTGCACGATTTCACTCACAAAGCCTGTTGTGTTGGCGCCGATGCGATTCCCACAAGACCAGGTCGTGTACACCCCACTCCTTAGCGGATTCCGTCTGCGATTTATCGAGACTTCACCCACGTACGCGAGGCTTAAGGCCATGCACTCAGGCGTGGGTGGCTCTCTGCCGCTTGCTTCACACCGCACCACGATCACGACGAGGTGTGACGGCTCCCAATCATGCATGCATGCCAGTCAGCCTCCTGGCAGCTCCGTGACAGGCGGAAACGAGGGGGAGCAAGTACCGTCATCGCCTTGCTCATCGCCAAGCGCATCGGTGCCGCGGCCGACAGCGCAGGAGAATGCCGGGGATGCGCCCCAGGATGCCGATATTGGGCTTCTCACATGGGCCGCAACGGAGAGGCCGGACCAGCGCAGCCTCTTGCTGGAGCAGGTACACGATCTTGCCGCTGCGAGCCCCCGCTACTCGGCGCTTCTCACCGCAGCTACCACAGAGCTGGACCACCAGTCGTGGTTCGCTGTTCTTTGGCAACCAGTGTACGATCAGAGCCACACTGCCAAACACAGCTGTGGCAGTTTCATTGTCTACTACGCACTGCGACCGCCACGCCATGTTGCGCCGCACCACGTATCACGCGGCGTTGCGATGATGAACAGTGACTGGATGAGCCCCGTCTTCCGCGGAGATCGCGAGGGGATTCTGTGGGACATGTGGGCGCCAGCGCCACCACCGTTGGCGTCGGGGTTTGCCTCGCCATGTGACGCGGTGTGCGATGACGCCGGTGAGATGAACGCCACAATGGAGACGTCGAGTGGGAGCGGTGGGAACCATGACGCGAAGGCGCCCCGCTCACCACGAAAGCGCGCGGCGCTGCGGGAGGCCGCCGGGCTGAGCTGCCGCAATATCGCGCGCATCCCCGTCGTCGGCATCGTGTTCAACCGATGCCGTGCCAACGCGTGGTTCGTGCCGTGCTACGGCAGCGAGTCGCCCGACTCGCGCGGGGGGCGCAGCAAGAACGGCAGCAGCGACCGTCCACGATGGCAGTATCGCGCCCCGCTTTTTCTCGTTACCGCGGCGCTGCAGCTCATGGCGCGTAATACCGTCGAAAGACTTTCGCGGCAGACCATGAAAAGAGGGGATCTTCACAGCGCCGAC